ATCTCTCAAACCAACCTTTACTGGCCCTAAATTCACCAATATGAGCACTAGTTACAGACATTTTTTCCTGTTCATCTGGGTGTTAGGTGACTGGTGTGGTTTGCATCCTGGGGGGACAAGATTAAGGACCCCAATGGAAATAAGTTAGATAGTCCTCGATGATGCACTGACTTTCTTGGGTTATCCTGGGTGGCTAACCCTCTGGGGTTAATTGTTTCTCATTAAGCCACACCAAAAACACTCTCTCCACATCTTCGAGTACTACAGCTGATGGTGGTGGAGCAACAGCTGACGGTGGTGCAGCAGCAGCTGACGGTGGTGCAGCAGCAGCTGACGGTGGTGCAGCAGCAGCTGACGGTGGTGCAGCAGCAGCTGACGGTGGTCCTGCAACAGCTGATGGTGGTGCAGTAACAGCTGACTGTGGTACAGCAGCAGCTGACCATGGTACAATAGTATTTCGATAGTATTTCTCACCCTTTTTACCACAGGGTTGACACCAGAAGCTTTCTTTGGGCCCATGGTGTCTTATTTAGCAGTTACAAGCAGTATAAACAATGGAATACAAAATGTATCGAAAGTATGCATGGAACCAGCCACCCTGGCTTGTAAACAATGACGGCAGGGCAGCTGAGACGCTCAGGCTGGACGGGCAGGTTCGGAACGAATCATGTTGGTCGAGTTTTTCATCATTGGTCAGGCCAAAATTTTTACACTCAAACACTTCGTTGGACGAATTTATCATTAGATGATGCCTTCGTTGGCCGAGGGTCCACTGTACTACCGTCCTGCCAAGTGAGTGTAAAACAAAAACCTGTAATTGTTTTACATAATAGTAGGATTTCTGGTGTCTTTTTTCTGTCTCATAAACATGCAAGATTTCAAGTACATCTTGCTACTTCTACTTACACTTAGGTCACACTACACTTGCTGGTACAAACATATATACATACATATCCCTCTGTGTTTTCTTCTATTTTCTTATTAGTTCTTGTCCTGGTTTATTTCCTCTTATCTCCATGGGGAAGTGGAATAGAATTCTTCCTCCGTAAGCCGTGCGTGTCGTAAGAGGTGGCTAAAATGCCAGGAGCAAGCGGCTAGTAACCCCTTCTCTTGTATATGTTACTAAGTTTAAGGGGAGAAACTTTCGCTTTTTCTTTTGGGCCACTCCGCCTTGGTGGGATACGGCCGGTGTGTTGAAAGAAGAAAGATATAGATAGATAGATAAATAGAAAAATATATTACACACACACACACACACACACACATACTGGAGTATGCAGCACCAGTCTGGAACCCACACCTGGTCAAGCACGTCAAGAAGTTAGAGAAAGTACAAAGGTTTGCAACAAGGCTAGTCCCAGAGCTCAAGGGAATGTCGTACGAGGAAAGGTTAAGGGAAATCGGACTGACGACACTGGAGGACAGAAGGGTCAGGGGAGACATGATAACGACATACAAGATACTGCGGGGAATAGACAAGGTGGACAGAGATAGGATGTTCCAGAGAGGGGACACAGGGACAAGGGGTCACAACTGGAAGCTGAAGACTCAGACGAGTCACAGGGACGTTAGGAAGTATTTCTTCAGTCATAGAGTTGTCAGCAAGTGGAATAGCCTAGCAAGTGAAGTAGTGGAGGCAGGAACCATACATAGTTTTAAGAAGATGTATGACAAAGTTCAGGAAGCAGAAAGAGAGAGGATCCAGTAGCGATCAGTGAAGAGGCGGGGCCAGGAGCTGAGTCTCGACCCCTGCAACCACAATTAGGTGAGTACACACACACACACATGGGAGGGATAGACTCAGAAGTGTCCCTGTTTGCAGATGTGAAATTAACGAGGAGAATTAAATTAGATGAGGATCAGGCAGAACTACTATGAGACCTGGACAGGCTGCAAGCCTGGTCCAACAACTGGCTCCTTGAATTTAACAGCAGACTGAGGATAGCCTAGGTGGCCAAAGACTGCAAACCTTACTCAAAGAAAAGGATCTTGGGGTGAGTATTACCAAGCATATCTCCTGAGGTGCACATCAACCAGATAACTGTTGCAGCATATGGGTGCCTGGCAAGCCTGAGAATAGTGTTCCAATACCTCAGTAAGGAATAATTCAAGACTATACACAGTGTGTCAGCCCCATACTGGAGTAGGCAGCTCCAGTTTGGAACCCACACCTGGTCAAGCATGTCAAATTTGAGAAAGTGCAAAAGTTTGCAACAAGACTAGTTCCAGAGATAAGGGCAATGTCCTACAAAGAAAGGGTATGGGAAATTGGCCCGACGAAACTGGAGGACAGGAGGGTTTAAGGGAGACATGATAACATACAAAATACTGCGAGCAACTGACAAAGTGGACAGAGACAGGATGTTCCAGAAATGGGACACAGAAACAAGGGGTCACAACTAGAAGTTGAAGACTCAGATGAGTCAAAGAGATGTTAGGAAGTATTTCTTTAGTCATAGAGTTGACAATAAGTGAAATACAGTCTCTCCTCACTTAACGACGGAGTTCTGTTCCTAAGACCATGTCGGTAAACGAATTCATCGCTAAGTGACGAGCATACTATAATGGTATTGGGTTTGTGTCAACCATCTTTGATATTATTTTAATGTCACCTTTTTGCCATTTATAGCATTTCTGGTATATTTTTAAATATACAGTATTATACTGTATATTGAAACAAATAGAATAGAGGAAATCAGCTTTAATATACATTATTTAGGTATGAATACTGGTCAGAGAGCCCACTGTAAGTCCAAGGTGTTGGTAAATGAGTATGTCGCTAAGTGCGGAGAGGCTGTAGTCTGGCAAGTGACATCGTGTAGGCAGGAACCATATATAGTTTTAATACAAGGTTTGATAAAGATCATGGAGCAGGGAGAGAGAGGACCTAGTAGCGATCAGTGAAGAGGCAGGGCCACGAGCTATGACTCGACCCCTGCAACCACAAATAGGCGAGTACACACACACAAGGAATAAGGAATAAGAGAGACGTGATAATGACATATAAAATACTGAGATTAATTGACAAGATGGATAGGGACAAGATATTTCAGAGATGCGACACTGCAATAAGTAGTCACAAATGGAAGCTGAAAACTCAGGTAAGTCACAAGGATGTTAGGAAGTATTTCTTCAGTCACAGAGTTGTCAGGAAGTGGAACAATCTGGGGAGCGATGTAGTGGAGGCAGGATCCATACAATGCTTTAAGAAGAGGTGCTATAAAGCTCATGGAGCAGGGAGAGAGTGGACCTAGTGGCAACCAGCAAAGAGGTGGGGCCAAGGGCTGTGACTCGACCCTTGCAACCACAAATAGGTGAGTATGTACATACATGCTCTTGCTATTAATAGTGATACCATTCCTTTTACTGTGGCATTCATGGGGAGAAGAGTGCTGAACCCAAGGGAGTCGTGCAGTGCCTAGGGTAATGTGAAGCAGGTAGGCTTGATCCTGAGAGGAAAGGGGGGGGGGGATAATCATGTCCTGTTCTTTGGATCAAGTACCCTTTGCCACTGTGAAGGAGCCTCCCTTGAGGGGTGTAATAGTAATGAAAGTAGAAGATAAATAACTAATTCAAGCATATAATATTTGTGCTTTATAACTATTATATAATTTTCTTTTTATTAAAAGAAGAGGAAACATACATGTCACTAATATATTCATATTACATATTTTCTTGTAACTGATATGCCTCCTACCAGGCACAGGGGGAATTACTAATAGACTCCTGGCTGCCTTCAAGAGAGAGCTGGTCAGATACCAAAAATCAGTACCCAAACAGCCAAGCTGTGGTTCATACGTTGGACTGCATGTCATCAGCAGTAACAGCCTGGATGATCAGACCCTGATCCACTGGGAAGCCTGGTCAGGGACTGGGCCGTGGGGGCACTGACCCTCTGAACACCCTCCAGATAGATAACTGTTGTATTTCTATGCCCAGTAGCTCGGTTGCTAGCACACTCAGCTTACACATTGAGGTCAACGGTTCAATCTCCAGTACGGGTGGAAACATTCGGACATATTCCCTTAAGACACCTGCTATCCCTGTTTACCTAGCAGTAAATAGGTACCTGGGTGTTAGTCGATTTGTGTGGGGTTGCATCCTGAGGACAAAATTAACCTAATTTGCCCAAAATGCTCTATATAACCAGGGATTTTCTATACAATATGTCACTGATGTCAGCTGTGGTCTGTATACATTGGATCATGTACTTGTAGAAATAAAGATTAGTGTTATTATTTACAAGAACCCCAACAAAAGTAAGCCACAGTGTTTGACTTTATTGGAATATATGGGTTAATTTATACATAAGGTACTATATAAGATAATTTTAAAACTGTAAACTTCTGTAGTGAACCTAAATAAAAAATTACTTCCTTACTAAAAGTGTGCTGTATTTATTGCAAATAAATTTTACTTGTTTATTGATCATTTTTGAACTACACACGATAATTTACCTCACTCAAGACAAATTTCACCTCCCACTATCTTGACCAATGACACAAACACCACCATTTACTGCTTCTGTTTTGTATATGACATTAACATGAGATATTTAAGAAGAGGAAGGAAGATGTAAATATAACTAGAGGAAGGGTGAGCTTCCCCTGGTATATAAGAGCCCAAGACACACTACCTGCTCTTTCACCTTACCTTTAGGACGGAATTAACAGTTTCAGGTGTGTTGTATGATGTATGGCGTGTATATCCTGGCTAGTGGAGTGATATATGAGTGAGCACTGAGAGGGAGGTGGAGGTGAGGAGCACTGAGGAGCCTCAACACCACAACACTACTGATGCCTCACCGAGATATTTAACTCATTCTTTTAGTATAAACAAAAATAACACCGGGGGAAATATCCCAGGTTGGTCCCTCTGTGTGTTTATTCCACCTGGGTGGTGTTTATTATTACTGGTGTTATTGTGGTTGCTGGGGTTGGTGAGAGGTAATGATATAAAATGTTTAATAGTGATATGTTAAAGGAATGTGTGGAGGGTGAGGGAGGTAAACAAACAATGTTATAGTCAGCTGACTCTATCTTATCTTTGAAATAATGGTGTGCACTGCCCACCAGGTCACCAATTACACAAATGTGCAGCACCTGGGTGTCTGTATTTGAGTATCTATTTAATTTCAAGTAAAGATTGCCCAGGTGTCGCGCATCCCAGGTAATTTACACGTTACTATGTGTGATAATTGTACCTTTCTTTACCTGTTGCTAAATAAATAAACCTACTTATACATGTCTAGATCTTTATTTTACGTTAATGACTGTTCTTCCAGTTATTAATCTAGGAAGATAATGTCAGGATAAACCTAAGAAAGTCAAGCATTGTGGTATATTTCCAGTGTGGTTTTTTTGGTCGTCTACCACAGATGTGACCACAACGGAAATAAATTTGTTTCATTTTATTAAATTGTCTTAAGTTAATATTTACATAAATTACTGTAGAAAACAATTGTAACAACTGTATTTATGTGTACCTGTACCTAAATAAACTTACATTAACATTAAAGAGATCAGCTTACAGTAATGGATCCCTTTTAGCTCTCTTCCTGAAGTGGCTAATGCTAGGACGGGCGTTGACATGTGCTGTCTGTAATGAATCTGATTATAAATAATAATTTTTATTTCTACAAGTACATGATACAACATATAAAAATTGCTCACAAACAGTGTCCAGAATATCTTACTGTCAATTTTGTCAAGGTCGGGAACCAAAGCAATCATAGTACTAGGGGGAGAGAGCACAACTTTGTAGTACCCACAGTCAGTGGCCAGGCTTCAAACACCTTTTATTGTACAGCAATAAAGGAATGGAACAGACTACCCACACATGTCAAAGCCAGTCATAGCATGAACCAGTTCAAGAAGAGTGCCAAAAGGTGTCTGATGAATGTAGCTACAGAAAGGGAGGGGAATGATTTTCTATTTTTTAGCTAACATACGTGTAAATTTTACCTTATTCCTAGTAATGGCCCTCGTATTGTAGATAGTCTTAATGACCCTCGTGTAGTAGATAGTCTTTTTAGTATGATAATAAGATGTTATCTTCATTGTATAATAATAAGAAAATATTATAACCTTTACATTATAATAATAAGGTAAAAGGACCCCAATGGAAATAAGTCACTCAGTCTGACTTTTTTGGGTTATCCTAGGTTCTCTACACATATGCTGCTATGTATGATAATTCTATGTAACTGTATTTGTGTATACCTGAATAAACTTACTTACTTACTGATATCATTGACATACTACTATGTATATGGAAAGCCCTTGTTATATACAGAATTTTGGTTAAATTACATCAGTTTTGTCCACAGAATTCGACCCACACCACTTGATTAACACCCAGGTACCTATTTTACTGATAGGTGAACAGGGACAGCAGGTGTTTTCCAAGTAGCTATCACACATGCATTTGATCCAGGGAATTGGAGTTATCCTACCTTCATTTTCTTTGATCAAAATTGATTACCTCCCAATCCCATGCTTTATAATCCCAATGCATTTAGCAATTCACCATAATTAAATTAAATGCCTATTAATTCCTAGTTGTATCTATTTACTACTAGATGAGCAACAGGTTAAGTTGTGACCCAACCACTATTGCTCACCTACCAATCTTCCAAGCACATTACATGGAGACAGAGCCCAGGTTTTTTTTTTTCTTGGGTGGGGAATATTTAATTTTGAAATGCTTCTTTATTTTTCAGTTTCAGCACTGTATGACCCCAATGAGTTTATCACTTTCATGAATAAAATCCCCTTAAGGGTAAGGAGCTCTTGATCCAGGGAAGTAAACCTAGCCTCACCTTGCATCAGACTTGTCTGCATCCCATTCCCCATGTTCTATATGACCCCTAGGGGTTCAGTGCTTTCCCATAATTAGTGTGCATGCTAAAAATTTGGAAGTATAGTACTGTATATATAAGTTCTCTGTGCAGTAAAACACTATGTAAAGTAATATGAAATGGCCAGTGTGGAAAAAAAAACATAGAAACATAGTATTACAGATATACAGTAGTTATTTTTATTCAGAACTGAAATTACAGGTACATTTAATGTGTATAATATTTTACCTTCAGCTACTGTAGCCAAGAATGAATTTTACGGAGATTCTAAGAACAAATGGGAGCCAGTTGACATGGTCACCAGATGGTCGTTTTTGTGCTGTGCCCGTGATAGGAAGACTAGAAATCAGAGACTCTTCAACACTACAAATTTTAGTTACCTACAACTGTACTGATTTTGTCCAGGTATGTAACCAATTTGTTCTGATTGAGCTGTATTTAAAAAAACATGCACTTTCAGTACTTCATGTACTGTAAATGTAAAAACTTTTGTCTAATCTAATGTATCAGAGTGTCTTTCCACATAGCTGTACCAAAGTTTAGCTTTTGTTTTCATTATTGCAATATATAGTTGTCTGCTTTCATAACCAGTATGTACTTGCCAAATTAGCTTACCTACCAATAATTGTTTTGTTAACTGAACATACTTATTATTTTTCCCCAAAACTGCAGAAATCAGCTGAAACATTATAAAATTAATATATTTCATTGATGTTTAATACTGTTAACTAAAATTAGGCTCATCTTATAAAGGCTAGGTAGGAATAATATACAATATTATATTTATAAATTATATTAAGGTTAACCCTTAAACGGTCCAAACGTATATATACGTTCACTCGCGTAGCGCCCCAAATTTTTTGAGGAAAAAAAAATCTTTTCTTTTAAAAGGAAAAAAGAGCATATGGTACCCAGGTATCCCCAATTATTTTAATATGGCACACAGTGAGTGCACACACCCATTCTCTCATGTCTAGGTGACTCAGGCTTATTGTGGCAATGTTGTAATAAAGTTGGTAGAATTACCGACAATATGTAAAGTAAAAGGACACAAGTGCAACTAATGTGACATTTATTGTGGCAACGTTTCACTCTCCAGGAGCTTTATCAAGCCATTACAAACAATACATGGACACAGAGGGTATAAATATTAATAGCTTTTATATCCTTTTACTCATGTACGAATTAATTGCTCTTCCTTATTGTATTATTTTTGTTACTACTACTACTACTACTACTACTACTACTACCACCACTAGTGAACATCGAAATGTTACCTCACTAGTATTGCACCTCACTCAGAGCCTTTATATACCCTCTGTGTCCATGTATTGTTTGTAATGGCTTGATAAAGCTCCTGGAGAGCGAAACGTTGCCACAATAAATGTCACATTAGTTGCACTTGTGTCCTTTTACTTTACATGTGGCAATGTTGAATGAATGACAAAGAAAGCATATATATACGTTTGGGGCACTACGCGCCTGAACGTATATATACGTTTGGACCGTTTAACCCTTCATCGCGCAAGGGGTCCGAAAATTTGAAATTCGAACTGAACTCCCTATGGTGGATAGAGTAACTCAATACAAGGTCACTGATCCCATATAAATTGATTTCTGATGGTTAGTTTTCGAGCAATTGCCAATCTCCGAAGACCGAAAATATTAGGCTGCTCCCGACAAAGGGATTAAAAAATTTTATGTTGCAAACTTGCAATTGTTAATAAAACACACCAAAACAATTTTTTAAATTTAATATACAAACAGACAATATAAAAAACATAAATGGAACTTGTATCAAAACATTTTTTAATTGTTACAAAAATATAAAAAGGAAGCAAATATCAACAATGCCAAATTGCAAAGTGATGCAAGTTTCAATCCCTATATTCCTGAGATTCATTTGGAGACCTAATTGCAAGAGGCTTTTCATGTTCATATGCCGGCAAAGGATCATTTTGAATGTCATCTACGGTCCACTGAGATGAAACTTGAAGAGCAATATTCTCATGGATCTCTTCCTCATCCGGGTATTCCTCAATCCTAAAAGTTTTCTTTTTCCTCATTACTTTCTGCTTTTTGGCTGGCCTTTCTTTCCTTTCTTCCTCCTCATCATCACTTGACATCTCTGCATCCTGTTGCATCCGGTGGCAAGTATTCATCACCACTATCCAGCAATTCTGGTTCGTCTACCTCTGGTTCCGAGTCACTGTCTTCAGAAACGCAGACATACTCGACCTGCTGGTCGACTGCTCCCCATAAACAGCCTCTCATGGACTGGAAGGACAATAGAAACCTCCTGTATAAATCCAGACCACTACAGAGTTCATATATGCAATTGAAAATTTTTTATAAATATTTATTTGACTATAATTGGACATTCCCGGAAACTCGCCAAGACCGAAAGAATTCGGACTAAAATGCTTGCACTTTTTTCAACTGCATGCTACACTCATATTATGCTTCACACGGACTTTAGGTATATATCAAAATATGCCTAAACTATTCATGTAAGCACTAAACACAACAATCAGTACTTACCGACATTGTAGAATGTATAATCCAAGAGTAGATTAGTAAGGGTGGAGGGAAAAATGCGTGTGTGTTCGAAGCCAAGCCGCCAGTGTTTATATTTTGATCTGTCAACCAATGGGAAGGCGGCAGAAGCGAACTGTACTTAGCTGAAGAGACTCAGGGAAGGCTTGTGATTGGTTGGAACTAAAGAACGGGAAGCTGGCCGCGTGGGGCGCGAAGTATGACACACGCCAAAAACACGTAATCAATACCGAATTATTTCGGCCAAGATCGACAAAGGGTTAAGGGTTAAATTAGGTTACTAAGTTGCTTTTGGTGCAAAATTAAAAATTTACATTGGATGTTAATTCTTATAAATAGAGTCTTAAGAAAATGAGTTTATAAGAAAATTCACCTTGTTTGACCATTCTAACTGAAAAACACATTACAGTATATCTATTGTTTTATCAGTAGTTAAGATGATGGACTGCTGTTGTTGAAGGATCTGATCTTTTATTTGGCCCATGCTTATTCAGAAGTATAATTTTTGTATTATAGCACTATACAGTAAAACTGATCTGAGTCATATTATTTAAAACATTTCCTTAAGTGCAGATCTGTTATTAATGCTACTTAGAATTTTTATTATTATTATTATTTATATTCTCAGGTAGTAGAATGGGCTCCTGATTCCTGTTATGTGCTCACTGGAAATTACAAGCGTTGTGTAGCTGAAATATGGTCAGTTGAAGACCCTGATTGGAGATGCAAAATTGACGAAGGATCAGCTGGTCTTTTAAAAATATGTTGGGCTCCAGACAGTCGGCATGTCTTGACTACAGCTGAGTTCTATGTAAGAAAATCATAAAAGTATTTGAATTATGATGACAAATTTAGTGTAAGGATTTAACCATATTGCAAATTTCACTTTAATTGGTTAGGTTTTTTTTTTTGGAAGAATTAA